GTTTTTCCATGTGCGATTTCTTGAAAGCTGTGAAAAGTGATTCCAAAGAAAGCATGTACATCGAGCTCAAGATGTTACTGCTAACACCGCACACATGCTTTCGCCTGCATCGTGCAACCGAATTACGTGAAATAAGTTGGTGTGTGTTGTTGCCCGCCCGCCCGCTCTCTCCCTCTCTCTCTCTCTCTCTACCTCTCTGCCTTGCTACTTTATTATTCATCATCATCATTACAACTTATCATCAGATAAATATAGCGTGTGAGCGTTTGCATGGACTTTATTCTCAGTTGCATTGTACCGCATTACATCCAGCATAATAATTCCCATTTCATTTAAGCGGATTTTGGTTGCGCGCCGTTTGGCTGGGCTACGATGATACGAATTCGAATTTATGGTCAGTTTGTTTCGAAAATACGTGGCACACTTTTGGTGGGCAGGCACATGAATCGTACTTACTCAGTTAATGTGCAACCATTTGTGGCTTCGATTTTGGGTACCAGTTTTCGTCGGAAATGTTACCACATGCTTTCTGCGCGGCTAATGATTCTTTGAGTGTTTTCGGGGTCAACCATCTCTGTAGGAACGAAAAAAAAGATGCTAGTTTCTCATATTCACATTGCTGATGGCTGATAGAGCAAGTGTCTGCCTTTAATTTTTTTTTTCTCTTTCTTTCTTCATTTCGTTTTCTTTGCTTTCGGTTCGCCTTAGTCTCATCCACTTGCATTTACAATGGCTCCCTCTTCATGCCGATATTTGTGCCATATTCATGTGGCACTCTGCATCTCTCTCACATCAACCCGGGCGCATCGTATTCTTCATAAATTTAGAGCACAGCAGTTCAAGCGAAGATTAAGATTAAGATGTTGCGAATGAGTTGTGAGGTTAAGCTATATGCGATCGTAAAGCCGATAACTAGTACTAAATATAAATTTCTTGATTTTCATTTCTATTCATTTTCATTCGTCGGGTAGCATCTATCGCTCGCTCACTCGTTCGCTAGTTTTCTCTTCTCTTTCCTGTTAGTGTGGTAGTAAGTGTTTATCGCCTTGCCCTTGTTGTTGTTTTTGATATGTTTTTGTACACGTTTGTAAGCGCTTCACGTTTCTTCGTTCATTGTTTTGTTTGTCTGTCTGCCTGCGCTCCTCATCTCGGTTCTATATTTCCCTTTGCGCTTCCAATCTTTCTCACGCTTTCTTTCTCTTGAAAATTTTGTCGTTATTTCCACTCGCCATCCTTTTATTTCCATCTATTTTGTGTGTGCCATAAGTATCCTTTTTCGTCTTGTATGCGTTTTTTTTCATTTTCTTGTTTTCGTTCGTTGTTTTTTGTTTATCCATCGCTTTCTGTACGATTCTTTTGTAAATTTGTGTCTCTTTTACTCACTCACTCACTCTCTCGTTCGTTCGTTCGGTTGCTCTGTTGCTCGCAAGATTCTCTGTTGGAACTGCATGACGTTGAAAATACAGTTGATATGATCAGTTCAGGTGAATGCACACTTAACTCGTAATCAAAATGTAAGAAACAATAAAAATAAATGAAATGGGATATTTTGTATTGCAGAAAATCGGGATTGCAATATGAAACGAATTTACACACGCTATGAAATGGCAATGTTTGTGTGTGTGTGTTTTGGTTTGGGTATATGTCTCTCTCTCTGTGTGTGTGTTTGTGTGTCCGCATAAACACGTGTGCTCTATCATTTTTAGTACGGGCGTACGTGGATCGTGAACAGATAAAATGATATGATGTGAGAACCTGAGCTACGAGAGATGCATGAGCAAAATGGCAATTTCCACTTTGGAATTTTATTACATGGAATATCGCACAAATTGTTGCCATTCCAAATAGTTTGCCATTATCATTTTGGCTAACATTCGCTTCTCTGCTAACCTCACCTTCTTCTTCTTCTTCTTTTTCTTCGTTTGTCTCTTTCGCTTTTTCTCCCTCTCAGTTACGGTCTCTGTCTCATTGCCGTCAATTTAATTAAAATATTAGTTTACGAAAATGGTAAAACAGCAACGGCATCATTCGAACACCATTTCGACAAAATTTAATAACCCGAAAAATAGCGCGCACAACCATAATAATTACGACAAAAATGTAAATGTTTCAATTTCCAACAAGAAACCGTAAAAAAAGTGTACCATACAACTTTCTATCTTACTCAAATCAAAACAAGAATTGAAGATGTAGAAAAGAAATGCTCGCGCGCAACGCTTGATTTTCGATGAATTTTACCAGCCCAGCAGTCGAAAGAGCAAGCGAGCAAGCGAGAAAGAGAGAGAGAGAGAGATAGAGAGAGAGCGCGCTTACCGAAAAGAGAATGGTGAATTTCCACGGATTTTATTTAATATATCGATAAAGTCAAGTTCATGCACTCTTTACGCGCGTTTAACAAAACTGATTCTTAAACTACAATAAAGAAAATAGCGTTCGAAGTGCAGCACACAGTTTTTGAACATTTTGTGAGATCCTTTGAACCAATCAAAACTTTTCGATCCGAATTGTATACGTACACGGAAAAAATTCCAACGGATTTCGTTTCAAACGAAGGGTAGCACAGTGAAAAAAAGAATCTATATATATATATATATAACGAAAGAATGAAAGGGAACAAAAAAAAAGTCGCAGTTCAAAACACATTTCCAACGGCAAACTTCGAACGAATGAGGACATGAACAGAACACACAAAAAACAACAAAAGGATCGACGAATTGGAGGAGAACAAAAAAGAAATGTTAGTTCTTGGCTTTCAAAGTGCAGAAAATAATATAAAATAAAAGTAAGCCGTTATTGTTTGCTCTTCATGACTTTGTTCATAGTGATTCCAATATTGGAGCAAGAGCTCGTTTTGCGTTCTCTCTCCCTCTCTATCCATTCTTTCTCTTTCTGTGTGTCGAAAAAATAATTTCACAAGAATTAAAAACAAATAACAAAAGACAAAGGTAGCGGGGAAAAAAAATACACCGAGAAGATGAAATCAAAATTGCCGTTTTTTTGTGCGTATTTTGTGTGTGCTTTTTTTATATTTTGGGCAAAGAGAGAAAGTCGAACAAGAAACAACAACTTTTGCCTTAATCGAACCGAGGAAAACGAGTGAAATGAAAAGTGAAAAAGTCTAAGCGATTGAATTTGGGGCGGAAATTTTTAGTTCGCTCATTGAAACATCACACACATATACATCTACACCCACATCAGCGAAGAAGAAACGATCGAAACATATATATATATATATATATATATATACACATTTTGCTAGTGATTCTAAACTCTTAATATTTCGTGTTGTTTGGCTCAAAAGAATGAGCGAATCAAAAAGGAAAAAGCAATAAAAGGGTTCATGTTCTCAATATCAAATCTGACTTTCAGTTGTTGTGTGTGTGTGTGTTGTATTTTTTTTTCGTTCGCCCGTTCATCGCTCACTTTTTGTGAAGCGTAAAGGCCTTAGAAGCTTCCTTCTCGTTACAACTTGCTGCATCTCGGCATAAATCAAGAAAAATGAAATGAAATGAACCAAAGCAAAAGCACGATGACGACGAGAAGAAACGATTTTTTTTTTTCTCTGCTTTGCTATCTTCTTCATCGCGTCTCTTTTTTTCACTTTCTTTTCCATTTCGCTCCCGAAAGATATTTATAAGACGTGATTTTGAGTTGAATTCCCTTGATTTGGTCGCCCATCCGTTCGTCCGTCCGTCCGTCCGTCCGTCCGTATCATCGACTTGTCTCTCGCTCTCATCTCTCTTCTTGAATTGATTGGTTTGGCAAAAGCATGCAAAATTATTACATTTCCGTATAATTTCTTTTGTATTTTTTGCCCATTTTCACTTGTCAGTACGGTCATCAATGGCAAAGTACCAAACTATATAACCAAACCGCTGAAAGCGGAAAAGAAGGCATCACCATCCCAGGCCCGAAGATAACCATCAACCACACACACACACACACACACATACAAATAGAACATTATTGAGCATCTCGTCACACACTCTCGCACACATCGAAATGGAAGAAATTGAGGAACGCGCGCGAGCGAGCAAAATTCGAAAATGCGGTGGTAGCATTAACGAGAACATTGCCAGCAGTTATTACGATTACATTCAGTTGTCGTAAATTTGGATTTCGCCTCCTTTTTATGAGTGCACCCACCCATCCTTCCGTGCCACTGATGCCTCTCACCACCCATTTGTTTCTCTCTCTCGTCCTGTGCTCCTTCTTCTTCTTCTTCTTCCTTTTCGTTTCCCTTTCTTATCCGGGGCCGAAAAGACCATCGGCACACTTCATTACGGCTCGGTGTGTTTTTCTTTGTTCGCTTTGCTTTGCCGGACCATTTTTACACATTCACACCAAACGTGTTCCCATATAAATTTTCTTTTATGATTATTATGAGCACACTTCGTCTAACTGCATTTATTATTTCATAAGATTTTATTTTTTCCTTCTTCTTTCGGTTCGTTTTTTTTCCTTTTCGGAAAAGCCGGAAAAAAGCATCAAATCTACCGTTACCTCTTTCATGTAATGGGTAGCTTGTTTCGCTTTTGATGTATCTATGTGCAACATTGGGATATTTAAATGTAGATTTTATTCTATTTTTATTTTATTTTATTTTTTTTGAAGCTTTTTTGCTTCTCAGTCACATTGATGAAGAAATTGTTCGCAAGTTTTGGCGAATAAAATCAAGCAAAATGGCCTGAGTTCATCAGGAAGTGAATGCGTTCACAACGACCCAATACACGTTTCGCATCCCTGATTTATTTCGTTTTCATTTCCTTTTTCTCGCTCTATGCTTTTTCGCTGCACACTGATGCTGCTGCTGCTGTTGCTGCTGCTGCTTTTTTTGCTACTTCGTTGCGTTCTTCTGTGTTCTGTTTGATGATTTTCTGTCATTTTCTTTTTTATCCGTCGATACATGAGTGCGTATGTATAAAATAAACCTGACTAACGGTTAAATACACACTGGGGTTGGTATATGTTGTAATTGAGCGATTTGAAACTTGACTCACCTTTTCCGGAAACCAAGGCGTTACGAAGGGCATTTGGAATGTATTACTGTACGAATGTAATGTATCAAACGATTCGGGTGAAACAGCTCCAAGCATTGAAAATACGCCACGTGAAAATTGGTTGCATACTGAAAAAAGAGAAAAGAGAAAAAAGAAGAATGAAAAAAATGCCGAGTGTAAATTAGTGAAAAGAAAAACAACAAAAGGGTTGCCCATGATGAAGAACAAGAAGAGAAAAAAAACCAAAAACCAAATACCAACTACACATGCACAAAAGCATTTGGTTCACAAAATGAACGCAGAAACGAATCCACAGCTCGAGACTTTTGGTAAAGTGGAACGAATAAAACAAAACAAAAATAAAAACAAATCGATTCGCCTGATCGAGATTTTTAAGTGTAATTGCGAGTTTCGATGTAGGTACAGTTTTTTTCTTCTTCTTCTTTTCATTAAATTTACCGAAGACTGCTTTCAATTTGACCTTTAATTTTGCTCAACCATTCATTTCATTTACAGTAACTTGAATGGAAAACCATATTTCTTTTATTCCAAGTTGACGAAAATAGAGACAAAAAAATACTGTACGTCATGGCCAAATGTATCAATAGCTGCTTCTATTGAAAACGATGAAATACAGCTAATGAACGTGTTTGTATGCAGTTGTTGATTAGTTGGTCGTAAATTTTTTTCTCGCTACTCTTGCTTTTTTTGCCCATCGGCAATATGTTTCGCATTTTTAATTAAAGCAATTACACACGAACGAACAACAATCACACTTTTTTTTTCCATTAATTCTTCGCCAATAAATTTTCAAACGTGCAAAAACTATAAATCAACAAAGGTGCGATGCGATGCAATGTTTGGAAACTTTTCGCATGAAAAAAAAAGAGCAGCAGCAACCATCACTAACGAACGAAAACCGCTAAAAAAGTGCTAAGAGCATTTTTACTCAATCAAAACATTGTTTAAATAAATGATTATAAACATTTCTTTTATTATTATTATCATCATCATCGAATCAATCGATGCGAAACGCTTAAGTTGGTCTTTTGCTATCGTCGCTGAGTGAAAATACAAACAATGTTCGAAGAACTAGTATGAAGAAGTGATCTATTCAATAAAACATCAACGGATTGTACGGTTGCAACAAAACGACGTTCTCTGCGTGTTCGTTGCTGCTGGTGTAAACTAAAGTTGTTGTTTTTTCTCTCTTCATTCCGTTTTTGTTGGGCGATAAAAGTTCTTATGGTGTGATACTAATGATGTCTGATCTTTATGCACTTTCAAATGTTGTCGAACTTTTTCGCCTCCATCGATGTTTAAAAAAAATAATAATAGTAAAGTGTGTTTCGATGCTCTTGCCTTCACATTTCATTCTTCACATCGCTCTCCGTTTTCATTTTTTGTTTGTGCTGCGTCTTATCTGTCGCAACTTGATTCTTTCGCCGAATTGAATTGCAGTGGACGCCATATGCGACACAAATAACATGATCGTGCACAACTTAATAAATGGTATCTCATCATGGCTGCGATGGGTAAAGAAGAGCAAAAAGGCATCACACAAAATTATTCGGAAGAGCTAAACTAATCTGTGATATTGTCGTTTGTACTTATCGTCTAAGGAGCTTTTTTCTCGCTCACGAATGTCAAAGTTTTTTTTTTTGGCTCTCTTCAGTGAAGTTACTCTACTTCAGTGTACTCGAAATATTAATGAATTTTTTTTTCGTGAAGAGATGGGAAAAAAATGCGCCTTCAACCATAGATCATTTGGTTCATGTGTCTGCAGCATTGAAAATCTGTTCGAGACTGTTCGAATGCACTTTATTTCGATGTTGGTTATTCCTTTTCTCTCCTCTCTCTCTCTCTCTCTCTCTCTCTCTCTCTCTCTCTCTCTCTCTCTCATTCTCTTTCGCTTGATTTGATGATTTCATTGCATCAAACGAAATCGTATTAATCTTCCTTAAAGAGTTCACTGCATTAACGAATGACTTCGAGTGGAACCGTGACATTGAAACCGTTGATAAATCAGCACATAAATGGCAAAATCCATTTTTTTTTGTTCTTTCTCTTCCTCACTTGCACTCTTATGTCATTTTCTTGCGACTGGTAAAACAGAAGGAGAGTAGAATAAAAGTGATTCAACGGCAACATCAAATCGGATTGAATAGTTTATTTTAATTATAAGATGGGACGAAAATGTTGCTTAATGTGCTGTCGAGACGAACGACAGCAGAAAAGTTGAAGCCAAATATTAATCTGAATGTTTACTAATGGCCGTGATAAAAAACTTCAAGAATCATTTTGGCAGGGTACGCGCGCTCGCCTGCTCGCGCTCCTTGTGAGCGATAGAGGCTTCGTGGATTAAGCACATTTGAGCCATTTTGGCAATGGCATTATCTTGGGCGATTAATTGGCCGAATGAAGTAGAAGAATGAAACTGTTTTATAATCATCGGTTTTATATCGTCAAAATTTTTCGTGTTGATTTTATAGCTGGGTGATGGTTGGCTTGGAAAATGCGTCGCTGCAAGCAATCAAAACCATGTCAAGCAGCAGCCTATTGCCATCTCGTCAATCGTATGGATTTTAAGACGACGACCATTTTCATGTAAATTGTTCGCTTATGCCAGGTCCTTATCAAAAACAAACACCAAAGCTGTTCACCGCAATGACTTGGGCCGAAACACAGGCAAAAGACAATACTTGGAATTATTATTTTGATGATTCCACCAGGAGGACAATGTGAAGTACACACACACGCATACACACACACACACACACACACACACACACACACACACATACGTTTCAAGTAGACCGACACATTGTTTGTGTATACGTGTTTGTGTGAGTCACCTCCCGACCCACCCGTCCACTTCCAAAACTTCCATTTACCCCGCAAACTTCCATTCACTCATCTCATACATAAACGCAAAACTTCGCCTGAATTGTGCTACGCTCGATATGAATGTTATTTATTTTTGAAGACTTATGACAAGTCGGTCAAAGCAAATAAAGGCCAAAATGACATTTAATATTATTGAGAGATTTGATATTACTTTGATCTCGTCAAACTCATGCATGTCTCGAACAAAAGGCTCAAGCTGTGTGCTTACGACAAGTTCACAGAAACTTCTTGTCCATTGACAACAAGCAAACGAGCGAACAAGCGAGCGAACGAACGAGTAGAGTGAGTGAATAAGAGCGAAATGTGTTTATTATAGTCCATCGAGCAAATGTAAGTGTGTGTGTGTGTGTGTGTGTTAAGTTTTCGTTAAGTCGTTTCCAATATGAATCCAATGAACCATGGGCACTTTAACAGCTCGGACACACGCAAGCACTTAAACCATAACAGATTCGATGAAGAAGATGTACTTTTTCGCTTCGGGTTGGTTTTTTGTTGTTGCTGCTGTTGTCGTTGTTCGGGTAAATGACATATAGCGCATTTATCTATAAGTAATAAGTATGCCGCAACACTGACTGATAAATCATAATCGATTGGCGAAAAGCTTTACTATCGCAACCCTTGATCAATTTGCATGCGCATCAAAAGGATTAATCGAAATCACAAATTACACACAACTTTTCGAAGCTCATCCGGAGATCCGTGTGGTATCTCTGGCGCTGGCACATACCAGACCAAACAGTAGGGTGAACAAATCACGATGATTCAATGCAATAATATTAACCAATAAATCGCCCAATGGATCCCATTATATCATCGTAATTATCGAAAACTTCAAGTGGAAAATTTCCATTGATACCTATTTAATAAAAATAAAAGCGCTTTAGTGCCGTGTTAAATGTCTATATTTCTTCTCCTCGGTTAATGGCCATTCCGTAAACGCGGGCAGGCAACAGACTACGGTATGTATTGTATATACACGCACTCTCTCTCTCTCTGCTTTTCTGTTTACGTTGGGTTGGGTTGGCTCAATCTCAACGGCAGCACAACCAGTAGCAGGGGGAGCCATGCAGTAAATTTTGGTTTGATACAGCAACACCAAATAGCAATAACAATAAAAAAAAATAACAGAGAAAGAGAAGAGAAGAAGTGGTTGCACAGAATACTCAAAACATTCAGTCGTTTCGAAACTGTTAAATGTTCTCTCGCTTTTATTCCATTTCATCCTGAAAAGATGGTCGATACGGCTTTATTTTTGTTTTTCGATGTTTGCTTTGCTCGATTGTTTTGTTCCCTCTGTCTTTGTTGCTTGCTCCCCCTCTCTCTCTCCCTATCTGTTTCACCGATTTTCGGCCACATTCTTGGTTACATGCGTTTTATGATTATTGAATATTTTCCGAATCAATGGAATCATTTCGTGCGAATCGTTTTTGCCACATTTGCGCTGTTAGGTTTTCATTTGTGCCCAAAGCTGAAAGCCAAAAGCTCATCATCGTGCAAGCTGTGTGTGTGTGTTTGTATATGTGGCGTGTTGTATATGCTTCAGAATGCTGTCATTCATGCATTCACATCATTCCTCTTTTGTTACGGGTTTGACTTAATTCTTGTGTGTAGCACAAACCACGAAAGCATCAATAATTAGGTTCTTCGTCTAGCTCGTATCGCTCTCGCTTTTCACTGTGCCACAAGAAAAATGAGATGTATCCCAAGAATTAATAATCTGTTTTGACGGGGGATTTAATTGGAATAATTTATCTAGCATGTGACGATCTTGTGTCGACCGCCAAAATCTTGACTTTTGACCATTTTCGGTGTGTCTGCAATTTTGAAATGAATCAAATCTTTGAACTCTCTCCAATTATACGTGTTTGCATGATTTTCTTGCAATATTTTGAAATATTGGAACCATAACTGAGAGAGAGAGAGAGAGAGAGAGAGAGAGAGAGAGAGAGAGAGAGAG